TGAATTTTGTACCGTTATTGTTGCAAGGAAAGAACATGTTTTGCAAATTGCAATTTGAAAATAGAGAGATCCAGAAATGAAACCTTTAAAACCTTCCACCTAGTAATGGCTTCATGAGGCGTCATAAAGTGTTTGGACACATGTGCACTGCTGGACATTTAAAAACCCTACAGGCAGATGCTGACAGACTAAACTGACACTGATTTGACAACCTATATTAAATCATATTTAAAACCATTGTTTCCTTTAATGTATTATTTCATATATTTAAATTGAATATATGTTTGGTATTTTTAGATACATTTTTAGTAGGGATGCACGATATTGGGATTTTGGCCGATATCCGATATGCTGATATTTTAAAACTCATGTAGCCGATAACCGATATTAAAGCTGGACAAAAATAAGTAGTCATTGAAAATAGCAGTTTTGTTATCAATTTCTGACACTTTGAAAAATAATATACTCAAATATATTTTCATAATCAAATTGATTTTTAAAAACACGGTATCGATCTATTTTACTTTCAAAATCTCGTAAAATGTCATCGTTCTGTTACAAACTCTCGTGATATTTTGCAAATTCTTGTGAGATTTTGTTAGTAAAATAGATCAATACCGCGTCAATATATCAACATATAAAAATATGGCAAAATTTCGTGAATTTTCGGGGGATTTCGTAGCATAACGATGACATATAGCAATATTTCATTAGTAAAAGAGATTGATATGGTGTTTTTTTAAATGGCAATATATCAGCATATGAAGATATTGTGATATTTTAATGTATCAATATTTTTTCCCTCGTCTTTACAAGTTTTTCAGTCTGTAAAAAATAAGTTTTTGAGGAAGAAGAAGAAGTAGTATTTTTTATTTTTTAGACTTTAGAAACTCAGAAGCTGATCAAATATCGGGTTAAATATTGGTGGGGTGGCCGATGTCCGATATTCCGTTTTAAGGCCGATACCGATAGGGGGCCGATTATATCGTGCATCCCTAATTTTTAGACAATCCATAAATGTGAACAGATAACAGGAAATTTTAAGTGAGCATGTGGGACTAGGATTTAGTTATTTATTTAAGACAACTACACAAAGGACAGCAAACTAAGTCAATTTGAATTCAGATAAGTTGAGTTGAGGAGCAGGATGACAAAACAAGAACATTAAATCAAATATAAGATCAGAATGGTCTTTTACCTTTAGGATGAACCATTTTTCTTGATTAATTTGATGACAAACCGCAAAAGATCAGAATTTTTTGTCGTTGTGTTAACTGATGTGCCTATAAGCACAGCTCATGTATCGGTCGCATTACTTTCTTACAACAATATGCGCACCGAAACAGGGTTTTGCAGTTATGCTACGTTCAGACTACAAGCAGCAGAGGCAGCAGAAGCAGCTGGTTTACATGCAGAGTCAATGGTTGACGTTAAACTTTTTAAATGTTTCTTTTAAATTGAGTCTTACGAACTGCATTCTTGTCAATCAAAAAGCCATTTCACAGGAAAGCCCCACCAGATCTAAAAACGTTATCTGTAAAACACAATTTATAAAATGAAATGTATAAAAAAAATAATATATCAGGGTTCCTACAGCATAAGGCAAGTTAAATTCAAGACTTTTTAAGACTTGAAAAAAAAAATTTAAGACCAAATTCACAAGAAAAACCTGCTTGCGACAACTTTACACAAAGGTTTATTTTAACATAAACCACTGCACTAATGTTTCAAATTTTGAAAAGCTTCCCATACAGGAAGAAAGCTAAAAATACATAAATGACAGATATATTTTAACAATTATTTAACTGAATTCAAAAACTTTGGTTTAGCAAGGAACAAAACAAATCAGTGTTAAAGCCACAACATAACCAGTCTTTTTTGCAGCTATTTTTCTTTGTATCGTTTTCTTAGTATGTTTGATTTGGTGATAAGTGGAGGCGTTGCAGAGACAAGGGTGGAACAAAACTGAGACTGTTTCTCTGTAACTCCATTTTCGCGCTTCTCATGTGTGACTCCACTGCCTTAATTCCTGTCGTTCCGAGCTTGAATCGCTTCTTGCAGAAAAATCCACTGAGCCTCATGTATGTTCCCTGGTTCAGCCATGGAGAAAACTCTTGGCTGGAGCCAATTTTGGTTACATTTACACTTGCTCATATTTTCCAGACAAAAAGTTAATGGTACATCTCCCAAATGTCCCGGCCGCAACAACGCTTTTATTGGTTCCGCTATCGGGACGGAACCAGTAATGGTCGGCCGTTATTTTTTTTACTAAAAAAAAAAGGTCAATTTTAATGTTTTATTTAGATAACACAAATAAATCCTAATAAAAATAATCCTATTTATGATGTTTTAAAAATTAAGACCTACGAAAAACTGATTTAAGACATTTTAATACCAATTAAGGCCTTAATTTTATTTTGAAAAATTCTGTGCCTTTTAAGACTTTTTAAGGACCCGCGGGAACCCTGTATATGAAAAAAAAATATATCTAAATAGTTAAACAGCTAAGTTACTCTCAAAACCTTTTCATGATTAAATGGTTTTCGAAGTTTCGTAGGAAAAACGTTTCTTTCCTTGCAACAACAACTCAAAAAAATCCATCGATTCTTCAGGTAAAACAAGACAACCAAAATAACACACATACAACAAACAAGAAGCAGTCTTTTCATTTTTATTTTGGTAAATGAAAAATCTGTGTTGAGAAATTTCCTTTGGGTAAAATTTTTGATAAGTTCCCCCCTCAGCTCAGTTAATTTAAGTAATTTTACTGCCAGTCAGACACTTTAACTTATCTTTCCATCGCAAACACACAGCAGGTCATTTTCTACACCAAATCAAAGTGCCCTGTTTGACCCAAACCAACGGGGGGGGGAGGAGCAGGAGAGAAAAAAGTCCTTCAAATATTGCACAAAATGGCAAAAGCAGTGTATAAAATTGGCCAAAAACAGCTGCTTGGACAGTAAATAGTAGTATAAGCAATGATTGATCATATAAAAAAATTCTCTCAAAATGAAAAACATTAACATTTAGTCATTTGTAATGATGTACTTTTGACACATACACACATAGAGTATCTATGGAGGGCCCAACTGGAATCAAAAGGTCTACTTTCCAGCGTTTGATAAATGGCATTAAAAAGTGCAACATCTTTATTTAGAGCAGCGGTGTCCAAACGGGGACTAAAAGTCACACATTTAAGTAACAGAGGGCCAATAAACTATACATGATATTTTTACAAATGAAAAAAATAAATGTTGCGTTGTGCAAAAATATTCATTTAGCTAAGCCAATACTTTATGGAACCACCTTTTGTATTTCAGGGTATATTTCCTCTAACCTGACTCCGCCAGATGGATTTGCTCCGCATATCCATCTAGAAACCTTCAGTTGAAGTAATTTTGGGAAGGGGTGAAAATACTGGTTAGCTGATTGACCTATGTTGGTGATAGAAGGGCCACATAAACCAATCAGATCAACAAAGCATATGACGTACTAATAGCCAGGCTAATCTTGCCGAAACCAGTCGGGAGAAGAGCAAAAACATCTTCTCCTCTGAGAAAAGCCTCCAGAGCAGTGTTTTGCTCTTCTTTCAGTGAAGAAATACTCTGTAATTCCGATAAACCTTGCTCGATAGCCACGCTAAAGCTAGTTTCATCGGCTGAAGCCGCCATGTTCTTTAGACTTAACTGTCGCACTTCTCGTTGCGTCACACCTCAACCCGCCTCAAAGCCAACGCTGATTGGACGTTCGTTTGTTGAACAGCTCCAAATTTTCTTCAACGGAGAGTCTCCAGACTGATTAGCGAGGGAAATCTTGAAAGCTCGCAAGATCAGGATGGTCTCACGAGGCTATATTGTTAGCGTTATTGAAAGATAATTATAAAATTATTATGTGGGCATATGAAACATTTAAGAAAAATTATGCTACATTTCTGTCCTGTGATTCAATCAGGAGGGTCATAAACTTTTATGACCTGCATCCAGTAGGTCATGAGGCAGAGTCACACGGTTGTGTGACTTCCATCCAGCCAGATGGTCATTTCACACTGTCTTATGACCTGCATCCTGCCAGATAATCATTACTGGGTTTTCTGACCCGCCCTATTATGTTGTAAACTGTTACTAAAAGGCTTTGCTGTGAAGGGATCTGAGAGAAAAGGTGCTGGTTGTGAGCCAGCAGTTCTTCTCCCCTACTGCAGAGGCTGACGTTACAAAATCCCTGTCTGTGTTTGATCATTTCGTCCTCTTAAACTCACATTTCTCTGGATTTAAACCCAACATATATCTCCTTTAGCTCTGCACATCTAGTCACTAAAATGTTTGCCCATTCTTATTTGTCATTTTAGATGGAGAGGACTGGAGAACAGCAGTTTTCAGATCTTGGATTGGGTTTATGTCCGGACTGTTATTGGGCCGTTCTAACACATGGATATGCTCAGTTTTAAACCGTCAGGCAACTTCAGAAAGAAATTGGTTGCACTAAGACGAAGTGGGGTGGTGGTACTTTTGCACACCGCACTTTGCAGTTTTCTAATTGGTAAAAAATGTTTTACATCATGTATTATTTAATTTCAACTGTATACAACTTTGTGTTGGTCTTTTACATCCGATTCCTTTAAAAAACGGGTTCATGTTTGTGGATAAAATGTGAAAACGTCACAAAAATCAAGGGTTTATGTAGACTTTAACAAGCCACAATGTGCGTGTATATATATTAGTGTTGCACCGATGCCATTTTTTGGCCCAAATACCAATACCCAGCTGTGCAGTATTGGCTGATACTGATACCATACTGATAACATCTGTTTGAAACTGATGTGTGTGTGTGTATATATGAAGAACTCCATACTGCTTGGATGTAAAATAATTGCCATCATGGCTTTGTCCAGCTGCTGCCTTCCTTTGTGAAGCAGGAAAAAGACTAAAACAAAGTGAATCCAGTAGAACTTTTTATTGCCTACCTGGAATGGGTGACAATAGTTGAATAAACTTTTGGCCCTCAATATGGTATCGCTGCCCTATTTGTTGGTACTCACCGATACCGATACCACCATTTTAGTGCTGATCGTGGCCCCGCCCGATACTGGTATCAGTGCAACACTAATATCTATATCAATATATACATCAGGGGTAGGAATTGGGACGATTCTGGTGATATGATATGTATCCCTATATGCTATATCCTGATAATATTTAGAGTTTTATAATAATTTAGCTCTGGAAAACCTTGCAGTATCTTGCTATTACTCTGCTGAATAATAAGCTCCTGGGCGATGTGCTGCCAAATAGTGGCTTCAGATTAAAGAGGTTTATAAAAGGAATACAATGACATAGATATTTGCATTTTTACAATAAAGATCCATCCAGCCGTATGTTTAATCAATACCAATATGGTTTAACAAAATATCTCGATATGTGACGGAATAGGTTTTTGCTTGCTTCTGTAGTATAAATGTGCCATATTCTAATTAAACTAATGTAAGAAGAGGAAATGTAAATACCGTAATTTTCGGACTATAAGCTGCTACTTTTTTCACAAGCTTTAAACTCTGCAGCTTATAGCCCGATGTGGCTTTTCTATGGATATCGTAAAAGGATTTGTTTCGGTTTGTTTGCTGTTGTGTGGCACTAATTTGCCTTGCAGGTGCAGCTGATGTATGGACAAAACAGGATTTCCCCCTAAATTTAGCTTGCAATATAATATTCAGGTGCGCATTGTAGTCCAGAAAATACGGTACTTTAAAAAAGGTCTTTATACATATGATGTCTTAAATATGCTCTTTTTGGTGCAATTTTTTGGGTTTTTTTTTTTTTTTTTCTTCTTAAATAAAATACAATCAGGACTAGGATTATTTTCTGAAAACTGTTGCTGTTTTTAGCCAGCTTTGGTGCACCCAAGTCTTCAGTAAAAGTCACAATATAGATGATGCCCTATTCCTAATAAATTAAAGAGATCTAAAAAGGATGGTTCTAAATACTAGTTTGTTTTGTACAACAAATATTTTCAAGTATAAGTAGATATTAATCTTTCTGTAATGTCAATTTCCATCAATCACCTTTCCTAGGGTCTCAGATCATTCCTTAATTACAGTTTAGGGCCAGAAGTGATGCTAATTAGCTTCAAATGTGTTTTGTTGTAAAGAAAAGCCAAGGTGACGTATAACTACCGCATAAAACACTGCAGGCTCTGCCGTTTATTAGATGCCAGATGACGATGGAAAGAACATGAATTAATTCCAAATGGGACTTCCATACAAACCTCTCTGAAACACCTAAAACAAAGGAGCCTGTCAGCTCCTATGTTCAACAGGACGGATGAATGAAGGAAAAATAAATGCGGGAGCAGCGGATGGTGGAAATCTTGTCTGAGTTTATCGCTTCCTTCATGTACAGTGATGTCATCACAGCAGGACTGCACCTGTCTGAGGAGCAGCGAGGACCGTGTGTACGTTTATAGCGCTCGAGGCCTCTTGGGGGTTATTTGTTTGCTAGCTTGTTCCTCTTCTTGGAGAGCACAGCGGAAAGATTTGACTTTATCTGAAAGAAGAAAGAACAAAGTCATAAATGTTTTTACACACATGAAAATGATTGTTAGAATGAAGCCATTTAAAGAAAGATCTAAGCTAGAGAAAGACCAATTAAATAATGTTTTTCCTGCCTGCTTGTTTATTCAGTGTTGATCCTTTATATGTTTCCCCTGCAGCAACAAGAGCTAATTTTTTATTGAATGCAAAGGTTTTTTTTCTTGCTTTTTCAATTTTTTTATTGATTTTATAAAATGCTTAACTTACTCATCATGCACTGCAAAAATGATCTAGAAATAAGTAAACATTTCAGTGTGTTTCCCCTTAATTTGAGCAGGTAAATAAAATGATTTTCCAACAGAATGAGTGGTTTTGCTCTTTAAATAAGATAATTAGATAATATGCACTTGAAATAAGACAATGTAATAGCTTTTCTTATTTTAAATGTAAATTGTCTTGTTCTATTGGCAAAGTGTCTCATTTACCACCCAAATTCAAGAAAAAATGCACTTATTTTAAGAAAAAAATGACTTGGATTAAATTTTTTGCCATATTTGGAAGTACAAACAAATTCTTAAACGCTGGTTTTACTTGAAATATGGCCTCTTTCTTACTCACAATGTGTTTTAGGATGGAAAGTTTGCAGAAACAATAACAACGCGGTTTACCCCTCAGCTCAGTCAGAATGTCTATCTTCTGATCCAGGATCTGCTCCAGCTGAGTTGCATATGATTCCACGTCGTAGTCCACCTCCTCCGTCATTTCCAGAAGCACCTTCTCATCTTCCAGCCAGCGGATCGACTCCTGGGAACAAGGAAGCGGCTCTTAACTGGTTTTCTTTGATGCTCTACTGACATCTAAGGCTAAGACTTAGTAACTACAAGGACATTGTAGGATTCATACCCTTATAATCACATTGACAAATAATTTGGAGAGTGATATCAGTTGTTTACCTGGAACACGGCCCTGTGGTCCTCCAGCACCTGCTCCTCCATCTCCACCAACTGAGACACAACTTCATGGAAGGTGAAGAGCTGTGGAGAAACCTCTTCCTCCTAAAAAACAAAACAGAACTGTTGCACTGCCTGATGATGAGTCGGTAAATCACTTTTTGTTATCATTTCCCTAATTCAAGTTGACCTGGATACAAAAAGAAAAGTTCTGAAAAGGATTTTTTGTGAGTTTTCAGAAATAAAAGAAAAAAATTCATAATTAATAACAGTTTTTAAAAAAAACATTGACTCTCAGAGTCCGATAAACTGATCCCCATTTGATAAGTTTCAACAAGTTTGAGACAATAAAAAAAGAAGAGTTCTTGTTGAAGCTAGGACTTTTGCAGAGTGGTCAGTTCAATCTGAAAAACTCACAGAGAAAAAAGACAATTAGAAGAAATTTATTGATACTTTTACTTTAGTCTTTGGCGCTCAGACCTCGGCAGGAAACATAGGAGTAAAGAATAGGTCTGTTTCCCCTCCAGGCCTGAAACTGGTGGTGGAGTGGAGATAGATGAAGTTGGTCAGTCTGTAGACTGCTGGTTAGTGAGACGGTTTGCTGAACTTTATGGGGAGATCCAGTGGACTGCGTGAGCTGATACTAGAGCTTCACTAAGGGACCTGAAAGATGGAATTCCAGTTTGGATAACACAGGTTGGAGAACCTGTTCATGATGAGCAAGCATGAAGCGACAGTGGAGAGGAAAAACTCTCCTCTGGGAAGAAACCTCTGGCAGAATCAGGCTCAACATGGAGGTCTTCTGCTTGACCGGTTGAGATGGGACAGGGAACGCAGTAAGAGTCCGGGAGGAATGACGCTCTGATGAAGCTTTACCTACGATGGTGGAGGAGGAGCTGGAGGTGGGTTGAAACGGGGTCATCTGAATGAAGTCACAGCACATCCGCCGCTTGCGCACAGGAGCAGACAAGTTGCGGATTGGAGGTCTTTTAAAATGAACTTTGGATACTGATTGGCTTTCATGAAGGCATGGGTTAAAGCTGATTGGCTGTGTCATAGTTGGATAAAGGCAAGTAATCAGTTTATTCAGGCTCTATTACTGTTGCCTTGTAAGAAAAGGCTAAATCTTTGTGCATGGGTTGGCCAAAGATGGACTGGCTCTGGTCCAAAACCTGCTCTGTCAGATCCAGTAAGGATGGACAGGTTTAGATAACGGATGGACAGACGGCTGATTTCAATCCCTGACAGGAAGGGTGCAATATAGTCCTTATCAAAAACCACCACTGACTTGATTAATTAATTCAGAGATTTTCCAAAGGAGAATAATAATTTCATAAAAATGCTAATTTATTAGCATAAAAAGCTACAATCAAAAGCAGTATTTGAACTGAACACATGCAGTGGTTCAAGCAAAAGATAAAATTAGGATAAAACTCTTTTTCATCTCAATACTCTCCATTCTGAACTCCTCAAGTGGAAAAGTTACAATTTCTCCTGGTTTAGTTTTGAAACAATCTCCCGATTATTATTCAATTAATAAAAAATAAAATAAAAAAACAGAGAGATTAATCGATTTACAAAATAATTGTTAGTTGCAGAATAATAATTTCATAGAGATGCTCATTAGTTAGCATAAAAAGCTACAATCAAAATCAGTATCTAAACTGGACACATGCAATGGTAACAACCCGATGTGCATTTAACAAAAGAGGGGAATCAAAGCTACATATTGAATTGTCAGATGTACTCAATGTGTTACAAAAACCACCAGCTCCAAATACAGGAGAGAATTCAGATGGAAGAGTCTGTTTAGGTTATTAATAACGCTAAACAATAAAACAGCTGAAAATCCGACAATAATGCTGGAGGCTTTATTTATTTATTTTATTTTCTCTATCTGTCAGTTTCTATCCTTCAGAGACACGCCCTACTTTCCTGGTTTTCCCCTAATTACAAAAACTGAAGATAATTTTGTTGTCTTGTAAATTGTATATTATTTTTCTCATAACTAGGCTTGAAATTGTTTATCGTGATTAATCCATGATTAAATTAATTGTCAACTAATTTAGTAATCAATAACTGGAGTATAGAGACTGTAAAACATGCCTCTAGCTGACTTAGAGCAGTGATTATAACAAAATAGTAAAAGAAATTTATGCAATCTTAAATGCAATAAGTATTAAAGATAAAGCTCTTTGTCACCTATTAACATGCTCAATCCAGAACTCCTTATGTGGAAAAGTTTCCTTTTCTCCTGCTTTAGCTTCAGAAAAATGATTCTTTAAGGAATCTTTGGTTATCTGATTATTAATCGATTAATCAAGAAAACAATCAACAGATTCATCGATTTGCAAAATAATCGTTAGTTGCAGACCTCCTAATAAGCAGTAACCAGAAAAAATTTGGGTCACTATCAAAGCAAAATAAAAATGTTCAGTTAGTAACAGTATTGAGTTTAAACTTTAGCTGTCAGACCAGCAGTAGGGCTTAATTACGTTCTGTTCGCAGAGCAGCTTCAGGTCGTCTCTCTGCGGAGAGCTCCCCACGCCCCACTGAGCCTCCAGTACTTCCAGCTGGGTGATGTGTCCTTCCTCATGACAATCCAGTTCTGATGCAGGGTCCACTGTGAGATTCTTCATCCTGGAAAAACATCAGCACTTATTAAAGTCGAAGGGAAGCGGCTGTTCCAACCGTTGCATTTCCAAACTCCCCTGAGTTGTGCACGACTTTACACGACTGAACAAAGTGAATGTGATTGGTCGTTTATCGGGCTGGATTGTTGTGGTGGAAGGTTTGCAAGCAGTTTGATCGTGGCCGGTTTCTTGGAAGCATGTTGCTAACCAGTTAGCAACTTAGTGCTAGTAGGTTCCCAATGGGAAATTCCATTGGGACCAAGTAGCACTAAATTGGTGACTTAGAAACGACACTGTCAAGGAACGCTATGGACAGAGGAAACATGCAAGAGGAGGAGAGTTTAGTGTCAGAGGTCGTGGATGAGTCTCCTCCGTCATCCATATTTATTATATTTATATTGATTATATATATCTAGTATATATAACATATTATATTATTGTATATAATAATAATAATAAAAATAATAATGAATAGTAACCATAATGTAGAAAGAAAAAATAAGCTCTGCCCCCCCAACCTGCTGAACTTTGGTGAACAGCTTCAACAGCTTAAACTTTGACTGAAACGATAGATTTAGAGGACATGTTTACTGAGACTGCAAGTCTGAGTTCCTTATCTGCCCCCCCCGTGTAGTCTCAGCTGGGACCACTGATTCCAATAAATAGCGGGGAGAACGCTGGGACTGCAGAGTGGGTTGGAGATTTGTAAACTCCGCAGTCTCTTCCTACTCTCCTCGCGAGTAAGCTAAATTAATTGTCTCTGTGCCTTCTTTTCCCTGAATGTATGTACGATGTTTTAGGTGCTTAGACCTGACAGTTACGACTTTATTCTCGTAATGTTAGGACTTTATTCTCAAAATAAAAAGAAATCCTATCTCCAGCCTGGCCCTAATACTCTGTCGTAGTTTAGCCTCCCTAGTATTCAATGAGAAATTGCCAATGAAAGAATTGCATCTTCACTCCAGCCTCCGGAGAGAAGCCCGCCCCGAGAAGTGAAGAGAATGTGATCAAATTGTCAAATCTGTGCGAGGGCTAGTGTTACATATTGGTCAGGGCGGGTCTGCTGGGTGACGCATTCCTAGATGAATTTTAATAAGAAAGGAGGAGGCCAAATTAGTTTAATCTCAGATTGTAGTTATGGTTTTAAACAGTCAAAATTTCTACATTGTTTCACATTGGGGGTGATAGTAAAAGACAGTCGTCTGGATAGTTTCTATGGGGAAACGAGGTGTAAGAATCGTACTCGTAAGTAGGTGAGAGCTCGGAGCGCATTCCTCCGCCACCGGTCTGGGAAAAGGGAATATCTGAAGGGCTTATTCCAAACTCCTTTACTCTGCAGACACAGAGGAGAAGAAGAGGTAAGTTAGACGTCCATATTGTGCTTTCACCTTTAACAATTATTTAAACACAAAAAGCAGCAATATTCACACTTCACTGAGGGTTTTGGACAAATTGAGTGAATTTTGTTCCATCATTTTTGCAAGCGATGAACTTGTTTTTTAAATGGAAAAAAAACAAAATGTAATCCAGAAAATAAAATATAAACTTCTTAATAAAAAAGATTTTGAAAGTAACTTTTGTTTTTTCAGATTCTTTTTTTATATTTGGTTTTTCTAATGGTTTTTAAAAGATTCATTATTTAGAAATTTCCCTTTTTCATATTGAGTTATCTTATTATATTCTCTTCACTCCAAATGTTTGCTCTTAATGTGCACATTGACCGCCCCTAGAAGAGAAGAGAATGTTACCCGGCAGAATGCAATTATACAAAGAGTGGAATTTGTACAGTTCAATGTGAAAAAGACATTTGAAAATAAAAATTGAAAAATAAAATCTGAAAAAATAATTATGAAAAAGATAAAGTATAAAAATATAAAATAATTTGAAAAAATAAAACTTGAGAAAAAAAACCCAGTTACTCTAAATCTAGACTTTTTTTTATTTTATTTCCATTTTACAGAAGTGTTTTTACAATACAGTGTTTTTATATTTCCATTAACAACTGTGAGATTTTTAAATTCAAATTTCCCTTAAAAAATGTAGCATTTGCTTTCAATAATAATGAACAATTTATTCCATAAATATAAGCTCATCAGTTTTTATCTGGTGAAATATTTTCCATAAAAATTAAGTTTTCTGTTCAAAAGAAGCTCATCTTACCTGTTGGCATATCTTAGAGTATTTAACGTGTTTTCACAGGAGGCCATCCCAGGGGAAATAGTTGCTATCTGTCAAAACAAAATCATGCTGTTGTTGTATTCATCTTGCGCTAATGCTAACCTAGTGCTGTGCTATTCACATCTCACCATGCATGTTCTTGAATTTTCTCCAATGAAGGAGTCTCTCAGGACTTGGGTCAACTTGCTGGCTCTGAACGGAGTATGGGGTTTGTTTCTGCCGAGGGCTCGGATGCATTCCTACAGGAAAAGAACACAATGATTCATTCATAAGTATTCAGGTTCTATAAAGACAAATTTGTAAATTGTTGAAAAAAAAACTAAAGAACAAATCATCTGGAACAAATCTCAGGAAATCTACTAAATATAGCTGAAAGTTTTTAGCTGATACAAAGTGCTGCAGTCTATGTTTAAGACAAGGTTTAAAACCTTCATCTTGGATAAAGCTTACAAATAAAATGGCTCAGGTTTTCCTGAACTATCTCTATAGTTATGCTGATATGGAATTAGACTGCTGGAGGACACAGGGGCCACTTTTCATCATTCTGCTCCATTCTATCTCTATTACTTTATCCTATTATGTAATATCTGTTAGATAAACCACTATCATCACTTTCTATCTCCTTTGTCTTGTCATATTAGTTACGCCTGGTTCTGTTTGGCTGTGAGACCATCCTGGAGGAAAATATCAGCTGGACTGCAGCCATCAATACCTTGTATTATGGATAATAGAGTTCGACCTGTTTGCATCTGTTTCCTACACTAAACCTGGTTCTGTTGGCAGGTGTCATCCTGTTAAAAAGGAGTTTGTTCTCTCCACTCTCACTGCATGTATTGAGACGTATGAGGAATTGCTGCAGAATAAAAAATTGAGCTGATATGAACTGTCATGAGACGCTCATCAATGAGGAGCTAATCCTGAAAAGTCAAGTCTGTTCATCCAGTCCAGTCTGACTGGATAAACTTACTGTTCTATGCCTTATCACATATTATGTAGAATATAATATATAATAGAAACAACGGAAATCAGACAGATGCTCATCCTTCTCAAAGAAGGGAGCACATTCCCCCAACAGCAGGCGACCAAGGTGTCAGTGCTAAAGCGTCTTCAGAAACCCGCAAGAGCAATACAGTTGAAACCACCTGGCAAAAACTAAACAAACCGACCAAATATAGCAAAACCCTAATAGTGAAAAATAGGCATAACGCACCTATTTTAAAACCTAACTTGCAGAGCCTGACACTTCTGTAGGTTTCCACTAAATTATTCCATGAAAAACTTGATTAGCAGCAGGTGAAGAACAGTCTTACTGTAAAACAGTAGGTTAATCACCAGCACTGAGGTGCAGGATGTCTAGGCTCACCTACCTTCAATGCAAGCAGGCTCTTGTTGATCTCGGCTCCCTCCAGTCGGGTCTGTCGGTCGGCGCTGGACGTGTCCGCCCCTCTCTCGTTCCCTGCCAGGTCTATGAGGGAGAACTTTCCATGCATCTTACCCCGTCGCCGCAGGATGATCTGGAACACAGCGTGGCTCCGAGAGGAGTGAGCGTTAGCCGAGGTCTGACCGGAAGTCCTGAAAAAGTCAACACCTCTCCGTCAGTTTTTTGTTTTTTCCTTTGTTTCACACATTCTGAAATTTCCTTTGGCGTTCACCTGCAGCTGTTTCCCATTTCGATGAGTTTGAGGACATCCTCGGTGCATTTCACCTCCCTCTCCTGCAGCCCTACCACCTGCACCTGCTGCTTCCCGTCCTCCAGGACTCGTAATTTGGCTTTGCGGTTTAGCAGGTCAAACACCTTTGAATGCATGTAGAGATACACTAACTGCTATCCAGACGTTACAGTATATGCTGTTTTTTCTTTAAGATACCAACCTTTCCGCTGTAAATCTCAAAAAATGTGGCAAAAACTTGCAGATCCAACTTCTTATAAACAGGTTTTTTCAACATGAGAAAAACATCTCTGGCTGCAGGGAGATAAAACGAAAGGTCAGCTCAGATGAATGTATAAACCAGTAAAAACATATAGGAGACACTGACCTGACAGTGCGTAGATTCCCTTAGAGCAGTCCTGGTTCTTTCCTGAAAAGTCCCCTCCCATTGTCTGAAATCACACACAATGCAATATGAAAGAAAACATAAAGTCACTGAAGAGGAAAGGAAAAGAAGCAACAACTAAAATCGCTCACGTGTGTTTTCCCACTTCCGGTTTGTCCGTAGGCGAAGCAGGTCGCCATCCCTCTCTCAAAAATTGTCTCAACCAGTGGCTGAGCTGTAAACCTGGAAAATAGGCAAAAAACCTGTTTGGTGACTGGAATGGTAAAATTTTCCATTTCCTAATTTTTTTTTATTTCACCGGACACAGTAGACTCAGATATTCTAATTTCCTTTTTTCAGGTTGGTGAAGGCACCATACTGTTAGGAATCCAGTTGGTGTGGGTTGTGTTTTTTTGTGTCTTTCTCTCCCTCCACCACCAGGTGGTGCCCTGTCCTCGTTGGTCCTCTCACACACCTGCGGCTGGTTGACTCATCACTGAGGACTATTTGAGCCATGGACTGTCACTACCTCGGCACCCGAGTGTTTGCCAGTTTTGGGTACTCTAGCCAAGCTGAGTTTTTTTCGCTGAGCCTAACCTAGGTTTTGTGTTTTACCTTCGGCAGGAAGCCTTCCTGCAAGCTGGATGTTTGTCCTTCTCCCCCTGGAAGGATTGTTTGAGTCTCACACTGAGCAGGGGATAAACCTCCACAAGTTCCGTTCAAGTCCTCCTGGATTCCCAAGTGACAGCAGGGTGTAAATCACACCCATCATGGCGATTCGATTCAGTATCGATTTCCTGACCCAACGATTCGATTATTTTCGATACTCAAGAATACACCACGATTTGATTCGATTCGGTTTGATTAATCGGTTCAATTTGTTTTTATTATTATTTTTTTTTACACCTTACAGGCTAAACAAAGTTTCAAGTTTGAAATAAATCAACGAAAGCTGTAATATCATTATGCATTTTCTTTAGAAACAACAGCAAATAACAGAAGTAGAAAAGTTGCATCAAAAAATACTGCAAAAATACTGCACAATATCAGTGTAATGAGTTCAATGCAATACCTCGGCTCCAAAGAAACTGTCCAACATATTTTTTTAGAATGTAATAAATATACTCAGGAAAGAGAGATGTTGCGTAGAGAGTTAGACAGGAATAAAAATAAACTAGATATAAGGGAATTGTTTCAAGATCATCTGGGGATGTAGTTTTTGGGAGTATTTTTAATTTTCTAAAAAGAACGGGTATTTTAGGGAGAATATAATAGTTTGTCTGGTCCATATTTCATTCTGGAAGGTGGCGGTAATGCACCTATAAGTTGTTTGCCAACCGCCATTAAAAAAAAGAAGAAGAAGAAGGCTCCAGAGTGTCGACGTCACCGCCCCCTTGAGAGACGCTCTGCTGCTCCTCTCCCAAATTGTAGCTGACCGCAAACAGTGCAGCAGACAGGAGGCTGGCTGGTTTTGTTTTTATGACCGAAATTGCGGAAAAAACAACTCATGAAGTTTGACCCGCTAGAAGAGCGAGGTGCCCGAGAACGCTGGGACCCTTTTTCCAGCTGGATCTCCGCTCATTTTGGCCCTCATGTCCCTCCGTCATCGGACTAAACTCGCCCCCACTTCTTCGCCGCCTCGGCCGTATCTAGACCCATAGTGTGTAGCTCAGACCACGCTTCAATACTGAGCATAGTTTAAAAATATCTGTGTCAAGCTTACTGCAACACACTGCTGTAAGAGTATAACCAGGAAGCGAGTTAGGAGGGCAAAATAGGTTTAGCGGCACCGCAGCACGGGAGGGAGAATTATGCCCAGGAGCAAATGGATAAAAATAGACCGGAGGAAAAAAAAAAACATGAATCGATTATCTTGCGAACATGTCGATGAATCGGATTGTCGGCTGTTGGATAGATGCATCGATACAAAACGATTATTATTTACAACCCTAAGTGACAGTCCCCTCAATAGCTCCTCTGGGTCTACCCAAGTCTATACCTGTCCGCCCTCCACCGAGTCTCAACCTCTGGGAAAACCCACACCGACTGGATTCTGGGAGGAAAGTTTTCTCCAAAGTTCCCACGGATCCTGAACTAACCACTGATACTTCCCTTCCCTCCAGTTCCGGTCCTCCAGTTCACTGTGTTTCCTGAATCTAACCCCGCTGGTTTCATCAATACACCTGATCAAACTTTTACTTTTACCCTCTGAGTGGTTTACTGCATGTGGGTCAGATCTCTCAAGAAAATCATGACACATACCAGGGGTGTTCCAACACCACTTTTTCGTTTCCAATACGATTACCGATATCAGCAGTAATCCCACCAGCTTTTATTTGTAAGTGAAGATTCTCAGTCATCCATTCATAATCATTCCAGAAAAAAGAAAATTAAAAACAATCCCCCTGGACTTTGTTTCCAAGTTTGAAGGCGTTTCAATTCAAAATGTCAGGAAAAGTGTTGAGTTCGAGGTTTTATGCAGTAGCCCATCAAAACCTTGTTTTTGTTTTGAAAACATGCAAATTGAAGGTCCACCCCTTTGGAATGGGGGTCATTGGGTTCTTTTCTGCAATGCTCCGTACCCATTTAAGTGTCTGAAAAGGGGGTCATTAGAGGGAATTATTGGCCTGACTGAATAGGTGAGGTCCTCTGCCTTCCTGTACAGGGGCTGGGGCTGTGATGATATTGCGAACGAATTAACTCCATTGCTGCATTGTAGGTTTTTGAAAGCTGAAACCTGAGTCCACCCCCTCTGTGTAAGGTTGGTTTTTCTTTCTTAACATTGATGGCTTCCTTCACGCCCGTCTCAAACCACCTTTTTTCTTTCAGCTTTTATTTATTTCATTCTGTTGAATGTCAGGAAAGGATTGATAAAGTAATATAATTGAAAAAAAAAATGGTCAATGTAAAATTAACCAATGATTTACGGAAGCTTTTAACAGAAGCAGACTGTTTAAAATATCAGAGAATTTAGATCCCAACAGATAAAATCAGATATTAATATAGGACAGGGACATCCCTACAACATAGGCTAACAGTGTTTCTGAAGTCAGGAGTTGCCTATGTGGACCAGGGCCTTTAAGCAGCCATCCTCATCCTCACCTCAGCTGAAACTTTGGTTGCCTAGCAACCGTGACAGCAGTAGGCAAAGAATTGTGAAGCCAATTGGGCCCGAATCGTTATTATTTCATAAGTCATAGGGAAACGGTTGTTCCAACCGTTGCTTTTCTGAATTCTCCTGAGTGGTGCCCGATTTTACACGAGTGAATAAAGTGAATTTGATTGGTCATTTATCAAGCGGGTGGGATTGTTGTGGCGGAAGGTTTCGTAAGCACCTATGATTGTAGCCGGTTTGTCAGAGGCATCTTGCTAACCAGTTAGCAACTTAGTGGTAGTAGGTTCCCAATGGGAAATTCCATTGGGACCATGTAGCACTAAATTGGTGACTTAGAAACGACACTGTCAAGGAACGCTATGCACAGCGGAAACATGCAAGAGGGGCAGAGTTTTGTGTCAGAGGTTATGGATGAGTCACCTCTATTGTACATTTATTATTTAGAGGAGGAAAGCGGGGATGAAGATGTTGTGGAAGAGGACGCCAGGGCAGCAGAAGCTTGGTTTGGTGTAGAAGGCTTCCAGCCGTACATGTTTGAGCCCTTGCCTCACAACGCTGCCAGTTCTGTTAGCTCTACGCCTGCTGAAGACACAGACATCCATCCCCGTGAACCCTGGGACCGAACTCAATGCTAAAGTAAATTATTCTTATTTCAACCGTTGCGTATATTAGCTGCGACATATGAATCAAGATGCTATGACCGAAAAACTTAGATTGACAGATGACCGTTGATAAATGATTGGCCGAATTTAGGTGTTCAGGCTGATTATAACTAACTGGCCTGCATAAGATAACGGAAACCCCCCCCACAGATTTTAAGATAGGATTTTTTTTTTTTATAGATTTTTTTTTTAAATTTTGGGAAAATGATTGATCTGATTATATACACATTTATATATATATATATATATATATAATGTATGATATATACATGTTTAAGCCAGAATGATATGACATTTAAATATGATTTCTCTATGACTTTAAAGTCAACTTCACTTAGCTTCAGCAACAATAAACCGTTCAGAGTCACCAAATTATATTAGATCTTAGAAGCCATTTGCAGGCAAACTGTACAATCTAGGCAAAGATGTTCTGTGTTTAAACTGCAAGAAAAGATCAGATCTCTAAAATCATCATACCTGTAAACCATTTCATTGGTGGAGTTCCTGTCAAAAGCGTAATCGAACCGGAAAGTCTGATTCTCCAGGTAGCGGGTCAGGTCCACTTTCTGCTTGGGCTCATGGACCATCACCACATCCTTACTGGGAATGGTGATCACATCCAGATCCTTAACGGACAACTCTGAGGAGGCAGACACGTCTTTATGTACAACTCGCTAGTTTCTGCGTGTTCCACAAAAAACATGTATATAAAAACACAAAGCAGACGGACAACTAAATATCCATACTTCATATGCTCAATGTTAACTCTTACTGGTGAGGATGCTGTTATTTTGTGGATGTATGTGAGGATACCAGAGGGAAAAGACTTTATAAATTAGAAGGTGTAGTTTTTGGTTTTAAATTGTTGAAAAGTTAAAAAATAGTCTAGATTAAAAACTATATGCACACTATATTTTTTCCTGCGCTGTAATTCAGGAAGCATACAGTAACCCTTTGATGCCTGTTGTTGCTAATAAGCAACAAACCGCTTGTATTACACTGCAAAAAATGTAAATAAAAGTTTTTCCTAAGGCACACTTGGCCATTGGAACAAGACAATGCAAATTTAAAATAAGAAAAAACAACTGCAGTCTCTTATTTCAAGTGCATAAAATGCGATTATCTTTTTTTAAGAGTTAAAAATGCTCATTCCATTGGCAGATCATCGCATTTTCCACCTCATATTAAGGGTAAATACACAGCACCACAGCAAAGCAGACAGGAGCCAGTGGTGTTGGTTCTTCAAAATAACTTTGAAATGCAAAACAGCATTTCATTATATTCAAATGAATTTTAAACTCCAAATATGATCAAAATAAGTGCACACATATATATATATATATATATATATATATATATATACAAATATATATATATATATATATATATATATATATATATATATATATATGCTTTAATTTTTTTTTCAGCAGGTATAGCTTTTATTTTGGTGTGGCTGTGTGCCATAATTAATATCCTGAAGCAATCTATGAATCTCAACACCTCACTCAAACAGTTTGGTCATATTTTGTGTAATGAGACCTTTACTTCCTCCTCCCTGGATCTAATGACGTCTCTCTTGTGTTATTGACAGTGGTCGGCTACAGAAAAAGACTTCAACTATCAACTACACACTTTTTTAGTGTGAGCACTGCTGGTGCTTTGAGTCCATCTTACCTTTTTTATTAAGTGGACGTGCACGAACGCACACACAGATTCTGTGCTCCTCAATCTGTAACAGAAAATGACACCAAGAATGAATCATTCGTATTGATATGACCGACACTCTGCTCTGCTCCAGTCATCTAATCCATCCACTCTATTCTTCTGTCGATCTGCATCATCTTCCCCAGATTAACCCTGAGGGTCTTCATCTACTAGGGAATGCTGTGGGAGGTTCTGACTCACAGCATCATTGGATGTTAGAGGTCTGTAATCCAGGCTGGCCCTGAAGTCTCTGATCATGCACATAATCTCATAGTTTGGTAGATTAACGTCAACCTCCTGTAGAGAGACAAAAAAGAAAACAGAACAATGAAATTTCATCTTTTATGTGTAATGAAATGATTATTAACTATGGATGAATAATATCTAGCCTCCAGATAATTCGCAACCCAGGACGTTAAGTCAACCCTGATTAGACTCCAACAAGGTGTCCTGTATTTGTATCAAGAAGACAGATTTTCTCTGTGCAGGCAAAGCCAAAACCAGGAAGGGATGTATTTACGCCTTATTCAGCATCTTAAACAGAGGCATCCAGCGGGATATGGAAAGTGCCAGTCTCTCCGGGATAAAGAGCCCAAACAAACCAACAAACCTCAGCTAGAAGCCTAGGATAGAAGGTGATGAAAACAAACGTATCAAACATCAAATCTTTGCTGAAGCTAGGGTAATTAGCCAAACGGTTAGCGGTCGCTACAAGGATGGGACTTTTCTGATGGTAAAAAACTGACTTTATGTTCTTTTAAAAAAAACGCTGGATTACTTTTTATCCATACACTCTTACTTACAAATAGAATATAAACAAATCTAAGATTGGATTTATAATGCAGCCTCAGCATTTCTTCTAAGGTAGGAAGTTGAAACTTTATTTTAAAAATTATAATTTATTATGCTGCTATATCTTTATTAATTTGTCTATTGTTAATACGCACAATGTGTAGATAAGTAGGTGGGAAAATCTGAAAAATATTGAAGTTTGAATTGGAAATAAAAAAAATCAGAGATTTTTTAGGCCATATCACCCAGCCATAGATGTATTATTTCCTCCAGATCTGAGTAATTCAAAAGTTGTTAAATGTGTGTTTTTTCATCCTCACCTGGGCCCTCTTCTCTCTAAGCTCTTGCTGCTGGAGACGCCTTTTCTCTCGCTGCTCCTGCAGCCTCTCCACCTCCTTCACACAGTTGGATTTCCTGCGTGCTGAAAGGTAAAAGATTACGCAGGTAATTCAGAAATATAACCATAATATGAGTCTGCAGTTTATTAGAGATTATGGAAAAATGTTTAGCCAAAAAAAAACAAACAAATTCTTTAATGATGTGCTCCAAAATGGTCACAACAAGTAATCTGGCATTAATTAATTAATACCAAAAACATATTTTTTGCGTGTTCTTGCTAAGATTTTTAGATTTCAGATTTATATTAGATTTCAGGATTATATTGCACTTATATTTAGTTATTTATTTTGTATACCTTGGTTTAAAAAAATGGTAGAGTATCATTGGTAAGAGTATTTTCCTCGGTATCTTGAGCAAGTTTTACATTTTAAACCCTAAAATTTACTATAAATAATTATAAGGTTGCCATGATCTTGGCACCATAGGCTGGGTTTTACTCCTCCTCCTCTCATCTGCTTTCCTCCTCCTAATTATCTCCGATTAGATCCACCTGTTTCTTCTGCTATTTATCCCATCGGTTCTCAGCCCATGGTGCCTGATTATTCGAGCTTACAGCGAGTCTAATTCTAGAGTTTCTCTGTATGTGTTTGTTCTGCCTGATCTTGACCCGTTTCTGAGCCCGGACTTTTGAGTTTTGACCTCCCCAGTTCTGCTCTGCCTGTATTTCCCTACTGATAATCCCTCCTGGATCCCTGGTTTCCCCTGTGTGCTCTGGCTGCTGCTGATCACTGCTCCTCTTTCCTCCTGGATCTCTGGTACCGGCTCAGTTTCAAGGTTCTGCTTCTCTGGACTTCACTCCTTCTTCTAAACACGGACTGAATCTTACCAGGTTAGTGACTTTCAAGCTCATTGCCGTTCCGTTTGTTTCAGAAGTCACTGATCTGAGTCTACATCCCTGCAGCGTATCCAGTGGACCCGCCCCAGCTGATGAGCGGCTGCATGCAGTTTTTTCAATAAACTCCTCTTAAACTATCGCCGTCTGAATTCTGGTTCCAATCCTCTGAGCCCTCTGACAAAGGTCAGTGTAGATGGGAAAATTAGGTGTAAACTTCCCCTCCAAAAAACTTCCTTTCTTCCTTCCTTGTGGAAATTATATATTTAACTTAATATATTTTCCAAAAATAATGTCAAAAACTTCTGATGTTGTAAATTTAAAAAAGATAAACTCTAATTTCCACAGTTTAAGTCAAAGGCTTCTAACATTTCAATTAGTGTTTTACAGTAGGATGTAAAATCAGAAATCTGTGGAAACAGTTTGCTTAGATTTTTAATCTTGGATATTTCTAATCCAAATAGCGGAAGTGTAATTGGTAGCCTAAATGCAGTCTTTATTGTTGTAGGAGAACGTCTAGACGTCAGAAGGTTTAGCATTTATTAAGAACTTTATACCGATACTCTAGAAAATATTGGATGTTTGAAAAATAGACAATACAACCAAATTTGATATTGGTAAAATACTTTTAGTAATATCAAAAACTCACCTTTTTCAGTCTCAACATGGAACAGAACCTTAGATGCTAGTTAAAATTAGTGTGCAAAGAAAAGCTAAATAAATAATCCAAATATAAGTGCAAATAATCCTGAAAACCAAAATTAATAGAAAAAATATTTTCCTCTCTTTATTTCAACAGGTATATAATTATTTAAAAGCCTAAAGTGCTGCATTTTAATGAGCTTCTTCTTTCCCCCACTGATAGTGATTAAAGCAGCTAGAGTAGAAGGAGAAACAAGCGCTGCAGTATGAAGCCACAGGCAGTGAAAGAGGCTTTGACTTGATGAAGCACAGCTGTCTGGGACTGGGAGCATGACATCATGACATTCTGACCGAGTCGCATCAGAAAACAACAGACAGGCTGGGCGCTTCTGCTGAGCACCACTCAGAATCGGCAAGGAACCGCGTAGCCTCCAACCCACCGAGCACCGGGTGTGTTACCGTTTTGCTGCTGCAGCAGAGACTCTTTTACAGCCTGCTGGGGAGTGATGGAGGGCGGAGGTGGTTCTGCAGCTTGGCTGTGCTGACTGGGACGGGCCCGGGTGGTTCCCACTGCTGCAGCTGTAGAGCAGAGAGCTTACTGTGATCATTGATTGTGAATGAGTTGGTTTGGCATTTATAAAACATAAAAAAAGCTTCTTATCAAACTTCTGCCCTTGTATTTAAAAGTAATCTGTATTTCATGTAATTTTCACACTAGTTGAGATTCAAAACAACAACTAATCATGTTTGCATGTCCACCACTTTACTCAATAGATGCTGTTTATTCATGCCTCTGCCGCCTAAAGAGCTTTTTCATTTCCGTCTAACATTAGAGCACAGAGCCTGTCATTTAGAAATGAATCATTTAATTTTAGTTGGATATATGAGCGGATCGGAGGACTGATCAACAGTGATGACTCATGTTGGAGCGATAAAATTAGAAATATTTAGATTATAGGAATATTTAGAATTTGTGTGCATTTTTCTTAAAAATGTTGTAATTTCTAGTAAGTAAGGTTAAAGATATAGTGGAGGATGTTAGTTTTCCAGGTGGATCATCAAAATATGTGGTCCTCCTAATTGTCAGTCATTCTGGTGATTTGTTTACGTAAGGACGTCCTATGTGCTCGTCCCCAATTTCGCTTCTGACATCTTCTTTTGGAAAGTAAGCTTGTTTAGTGATGCAAAGAGCAACTTTTAAAAAGGGGTGTGCACGAGGAGAAATGGGCTTGTGCACGCTCTCCCATGCGTACAATTGGCGTTCCCTCTCGGGAGCAGGTACAGGGTTGTGCATGTGCATTTTTTTTTTTAAGTGGAGAGGGCGGGTCTTTTCAAAAATTCATTAAAATCCTCCACTCTGGCCGTTTCTCAACTCACAAGAACGCGAGTACAGACTCGTTTCCTCGCCAAGTTTGCTCTCACTGGAGCTGCATTTCACCCCCTGTTATTAATAGTCTCTAAATAATAATAAATTCTGACTTTTTTCATTCAGTGGGGGAATAATAATTAACACAGTCAGATAAATGAAAATCAAATGAACATTTTGCCAAATGAAACAAAAAACTCTCCATCACAGCCAGCGGACCTTTGCACATGCGCATGCAGAGAGAGGGCTGCTGCAGACGGGCTAACGTTAGCCCTGGCTGTGGTTAGCCTCAGAGCTCCGCTGGTTGCAGCTGTGCTCTCAACTTCAGAAATCTTTTTTTTTTTTTTTTTCTATTAGGCTCTAAATCAGTAAATAGGCCATATAGTGATGCTTAAAAGTATAATGCTCTCCACAACAACCCAGCCCTCGTGATAAACGACCATACACTTTATTTAGTCGTGTAAAGTCGTGCACCCCTCCGGAGATTTCGGAAATGTAACGGTTGGAACGGCCGTTTCCCTACGAATTTAAATGATTTATAAGGAAAATCTGTTTATTCCACCAGTTTTTGAAATAAGTGGCATAATAAATGGATAAGGATTATTATTTCACATTCAGTCTATTGTAAAACAATATTTAGCCTGTAATGTTAATGGAAATATCTTAATACGGGGGATTATAAAAAAAAAGGCCACTTATCAATTAACCGTAGTTGATTAATAGGGTCAACTTTAGATTAATTAATTAATCCATAACTTGCATCTCTAATCAGAAGCTTTATGAAAGTATAGTTCACCAGGCAGAGTTCAGTAATGAAGGTGTGTCTACAACAATAATCAAAAATAGAAATCTATGGTAAGATGGTTAGCGGGTCAAACGAACCTCTGTTCTCCCGTGGAGCATTTTCAGGCTTAGGTATCGCTGTGATCCGTTTGGTCTAAAATTAAAATCAGAGCAAACAGTCAGCAAAGAAGCACAGATGGCGAACCGAACACACAGAGGTGAAGCTTTATGTCTGTCTTTGTAGAAATTAGGATATCAATATTATCTGTGTAGACCAGAGCATGTGAGTGGAGCAGAGCAGAAGAAATATGGTGGAGCGCAGAGCAGTTTCCTATGGAAGTAAATCTGTGTCGCAATTTAAATGTTGTATGTTTGTACTTAATGAACTTTTTTTTAGGTCAAAAATGTGTTCTGAATATATTTTAACACTGAAACAGTGTCATTATTTCTACACAGTTGAAATTTAATTTGTTATTTTCTCTTCAAGCTAAAAATTCACATTACTATTTCAAAGTGATTATATTTTCAATACTTACTTTTCAGTGTTAAAAAAATCTGCATATAAAAAAATTCAACCTTTCAAAATTCAAACTCAATATTTTCAGCCTCCTGAGATTCAACTGGCTCTATTTCACCGTCTTAAATTCGGCGTCTAAATTCAGTGTAAAAAGGGAAGGGTTACTTCAGGTCACAGACATTAGTAATGGATTGTGGCGTCCAACACCCAGCCAATCCTGTTACGTTTTCTCAGTCACGTGACGTGACGCTTGTGGCGCTCATACTGAAGGAAAACCTGCATGACGGAGCCGGTCATGCAAGCTAACGCTAACTCAACTACAGAAAAATTAAAGTAATAAACTCAAATTAAAATCCCAGCGACACAGATTTACTTCCATAGTTTTCAATTCAAAGGCCGGAGCGAGGATTTCGCTCCTCTCCAGTTTGCTCTGATGACCTCACAACGTCAATTAAAAATTTTGGATTATAAAATTTGTAAAATAACATTTATGTAATTCTAGTAAAATAAATGAATATTTAAATGGGAAACAGGTGGAAACATGGATGGAGTGAGGTGTTACGTTCACCGATGGGAAACAATAATATAACAGCCAGTTAAATAAGACAATACATATATATATTAGGGCTGCAACAACGAATCGATAAAATCGATAAAAATCGACTTTTAAAAGAGTTGGCAACGAATTTCATCATTGATTAGTTGTGTCGCGCGATTAATGCGTCATCCGCCGCCGTCGTCATCACATCCACTTGACTGAAACGGGGGAAGAAAATAGGGCAGCGCCGCAGGTGCAGTATTGCCAACTCAGCGACTTTGTCGCTATATTTAGCGACTTTTCAGACCCCTCCAGCGACTATTTTTCAAAAAAGCGACTAGCGACAAATCTGGCGACTTTTTACGGTGTCACTGCCGGCTTTTGGAGACTCTTACGTGAAAGCATGTATCGTTCCTCCAGCGGCAGCTGCTGCCGTGGGGCGCCTCCCCCATCCCAACCCCGTTCTCCCGCTCCCACAGGAGTCCCTCTCAGCGCTGCAGTCAGAGCCGCAGGATGTTTATCCTCAGCGTCCAGACTGCAAATGAAGCGCGCATGCGCCGGGATTGACAGCGCAAATTGATCACAATAATTAAAATAGCCTGCGCTTTGTAAAGCGAAAAAAGAACATGCAACTTTTGTAAAAACAAATGAACATGGCACGGAAGCACCGCTGTTATGATGCAGCACCTGAAAAGAAAACACGTTGGCGCCTTCGATGGCAGTGAAGAGAGCTGATCAGCAGGATGAGCGGCCATGTTTGTTTGGTTTTAAAGTGGGGAAACGTAACGTTAGTTTCTCAGGTAGCTCACCTGATGCTTTCCTTACCGTGTTAGTAGGTTACAGACAGTGATAAGGTTGGCTTCTTATTTTACTTTTAATTTCATTTGAATTAACTTAAGCAGCGTTTATATTTTCTTTATAAATAAATTAACTTGCAAATTATGAGGGCAAGGCTTTTAAAGTTTAAATCTTCTGGCAAAGATAAAGTAAAGAAGATCCTGCAATTTCTGGAAGTAAAGCAGAATAAAATCCAGCAAGATCAGTAATATGTCAATTAATTATATGCCACATTCCCATGTAAATATCTGTTTCTCATTTTTATTCCAAATACAATTTATAATTTGAACCACAGGGCTATTTTTATCTCTATGGTTCAGTATTTCCTCAAGTAGCAACTTTAACTGCTATACTTTCCTGTCTTAAAAGGCAGAACTCTTCTAGTCTAAAAAAAATGAATTTGTTGAAATGGGGGGACCTATTGTTTGAACCCCTTAGGGGCTTTTAAAAACAAAAATGTCTTTTTTTGCGCTATGAAACAAAGTACCCTATATTTTGTGGATGTACAGCTACATTTCTCATGTAAGTTTGCGTAGTTTTAACACAAACATTTATTTTTCATATTGCACCAGTACAGTTAATGAGCAACCTGTACTTGTGTGCTTGTTTGTTCTGTCTAAAATGTTTATTTTGAAATAAAGAGGTTAATATAAAAAATATTTTTTGTCCGATTCATCGATTAATCAAAAAAATAATCGGCCGATTCATTGATTTTTAAAATAATCGTTAGTTGCAGCCCTAGAGCGAACATCCTCCTGAGCGGGGAGCGGGAATTGGGTGGCGCCAGGGACGTGGCTAGACCTATTTTAGGGTGGCTGAAGTCATCCCTTCGTTGGTATTAGCCACCCCATAATTATTTTGCGATTTTTATTGTTATTTTTTTATTTATTGATTTTTTTTCCATATAACCCCAAACAATTGCAGTAAAGCACTGAAAACGAGCCACCAAGAAGGCAAGTTAATCTGAAGATAAGTTCCTGTTAGTTTATTTACAAACACAATTATTTATACAATTATTAATATCGTTAGGATATTCATTTCCTTCATTGGCTCCGCGTCCAGCGTCACGTCACGTGGTACACGGCCATCAACTGGACCATAGCAGCTGTGCAGTGCAGCAACAGCGCGCCCTTTGAATCTCCACACAGTCATCGAGCTTGATTAGGAAAGTTATGGTTGCGTGCAGATACATACGGTGAGTTTGCCATTTGATGTCAGCGGTTTACATTTTCTTCACTTTACCTGGAGTGAGGAAAGAGACAATATAGGCCTAATAGCTTGTCTGATTCAGTAGGAATTACGTTACCATGGTGAACAAAGTCAGTGGTGTGGGAAAACACGATGTTGTTGTAGCCTACTAGCATCATTATAATAGTTTTGTCACAGGAGCAGTGATGGGCAGTAGCGCCGCTACATGTAGCGAAGCTATTAGTTTAACTACATTTTCAAGTAGCTTGACCGTAGCGTCGCTGCTTTATTTATCAAGTAACTTTCCTGTAGCGACGTTATTGTTTTGATCAAGTAGCGACGTAGCGTCCACAAACGCTACAAAATCCAGGGCAAAACTAAGAAATGAAACCAGGTTTTCTATTTCTAAACAACAATCAGCCACAAAACTACTGTAAATAGCAGTTTCAGCTGACGCTTTATAAGTGGCGTAGTAGCACAGGCACACTCCGTAGGGTTAAACAAGCGCACCTTTTCCGAGGCTGTCGTTCTATTGGCTGGAAAGGTTGCTAGGCAACGATCCAACTGCAGTCTGAGAGAGCAAAACAAATCCGCAAGCAGAGCGTAACTGAGACCCGTGCAGAGCGGAGATGGAGGCAAGCGAGAGGAAAAAATATCTGTGATAATATAGAAAATATCTGTTTAAATCTGAGAGAAGAAACAAAGATTTTTGAGAGAAGAGAAAATATTTGAGAGAGAGCGCATGTTTTGAGTGTGAGCATTATAAGTTTTGAGTGCAAGAAGATGAAATTCTTTTCTCTAATTGAAGTTATGTGCTCTTGCATTATGGCAGGATAATTCTCCCATATCTATGTGCCACCAGTCTGATAGGGCGACACTGTGTGATATGGTAGTGCTTCCTTGGGTTGACTATAGTTCTAAGTTGTACGTTTCATATACTGTTGATTTTGTGTTTTCATTAATACATTGTACTTAAAAATACTTCCTTTATTTGCATTAAAACTTTGTCAGACTGATGTGAAAAAGTCTCAAGGATATCCTTCTTTGCAATGATGCTATTGCCTATTGCCTACTGTCCATTTATGCAACTTGTATTTTGTGGTTAAACTTTAGATTAAGCAGAAATCTATCAAAGATAATGCTGCATTTATTGTTAAGTTCCTCACATATATGTGTTTCTCTCTGTGCCAGGTGTAGAGAAAGACATGCCAAAGTCCAGGTCACACACACACACCAAGCACACACACAGAAACAGGGTTATTGCAAAGCAGACAGGGGTTCCTGACAGGTTGTGGGTGCAGGGGAGATGGGGAAAGATGAATGGCCAGGTTAAGGGTTTATGAAGATGTTGGGAGTCTGTTGGTTAGACAACTGTCTTCTGTAGAAGGTTTCCATTATGATGAGTGGCGAACCACTTGCCTTCTTCCATTTATGCAGTAATGCATGGCACCTACCATTTACTCTTTGTAATTTAGCACATTTTAACTGGTGTAGTTTAGTTGGTGAAGTAGCATTAGTGAGGGAAGTGTTTCCCAGGTATGTTGCTCTTAAAATAATGAATTTATAGACAGCGCCTTAGAAAGTGCACTGAAAAAATTTCGGCGCGCGCTGCGCGCGCGCAATATCTTACCTAGGGGCTAAGCCACCCATGTCTCTCAAACCTAGTGACGGCCCTGGGTGGCGCTCCCCTCCGTTCACATGCTCTGGCGTAGACTGAGCCATAGGCAGGGAGTAGATTTCTTTACTTCTAATAGAGAATAATAATAGTTATAGCAGGATGATGTTTAGAAGCTCCAAATATTTTTTTCTACATATCTAACACTGGAAAAAATCTAAATCTAGATAAGTAATTCTTTTCTTCAAATAAGTGCATTTGTTCTTGGATTGAGGAGGTAAAAGAGACATCTTGCCAAAGGAACGAGACAATTTACATTTAAAATAAGAAAAAACAACTATATTGTCTTATTTCAAGTACATATTATCTAATTATCTTATCTTAAAGTAGAAATACTAATTCCAGTGGCTCATTAACCTACTGAAACTAAGGGTAAATACACTTCATCTAAGAAATGTTTAAATATTTCCAGATAGATTTTTTCAGTGCATTAAATCAGGTTGTTGGCAGCTAGTGAGGAAGAGCAGACCTTGGGAACTTTGCTGGTTTTGGTGACGCTGGACGGAGGAACAGGAGCTTCGGGACTCTGAGGTATTTCTTCATCAGGAGCAACATCTGGATTCAAAGCAAAGATGCTCTCCAGGTCGATCTGAGGGGGGAAAATAAAACACCCATGGGTCTAAGTAAAACTAGAAAGGTACAAAAACATCCATGGGAGCGTTTAAAGGCAGTCGAAGAGTTACCGATTGGTGCACAGAGCACCAGTCTTTTCTCCTCATTGGTGGATCTGCGGGATAGTCTCACTTTGTGGCAAAGGCTGATGGGATTAGGAGCAGCTCTGCAGGTGACCCAGGGCATAGATGATAAACTGTGGCAAATTATCTAAACATTGCGTTCACTTTTGAATATCTTTCTTTTTCCAGACCTAATGCTTCCTTATTTCCAAAGCTGCTCCTTTCGATTTATTTTACTTTTTTAGGCTCATTAAAGGAAATGTCAGCCTAATTTTCTATGTACGATAATTTTCTTGATTTTATCTGGAAAAGAAAAACTTTGCAGAAGCTTCTTCATAAAATAAATATATTTGCCCTTAATTTTTGCAGAAAAATAAGGTGATCTGCAAGTTTGGATAGGATTTATTTCACATGAAAATATTCTGTATCTGCATAATATCAGGGCAACTTGCTGTACGTGCATTTATTCTGAAATTGAGGAGGTAAGTGAGACACTTTGCCAATGGAACAGGACAAATTACATTTAAAATAAGAAAAAAACAATTGCATTGTCTAATCTCAAGTGCATGTTATATAATTATCTTATTTTAAGAGTAATAATATTCATTCCATTGGCAAATTATCTTATTTACCTCCTCAAATTAAGGGTAAATACATTTAATTTTTGCTCATTTTTAGATTGTATTTGCAGTGTGTGACTGGCTGGATGTTCTCTCTTCATCCTCTGACATGGAAGCTGGCTCTGAGCTCGTCTGCCTGGTTGTGTGTTTCCTGGAAGGGCGAGCTGGTTGACAGTTGCCTTTTGCATCTATGCTTCTTTTTGTATCTCTGCTTCTGTCTCCTTGAACCCCAGCCGGCCTCGGCAGATGTTCCGCTCACACTGAGCCTGGTTCTGCTGGAGGTTTCTTCTTGTTAAAAGGGAGTTTTCCTCTCCACTGTCGCTACAAGCATGCTTAGTGTGAGGGATTGCCTTTGAGTCAATGAGTCGATGCAATCAACTGGTTTTCCTTAGATAGAAAACTTTGAATCAATCTGACTGGATGATCTGGTGAACTGCAAAGTGCCTTGAGATGACATGTGTTGTGAATTGGCGCTATAGAAATAAACTGAATTTAATTAAATTTCACATTAGAGGCTTTTGTCATTCCTGCTTTGTGATCATTCAAAGTTATAACAAACACACAGTTTAAGGGGTGGATGGGTAGATATACATTTTCAAGTGAAATTGAGAGGAAATCACCCAGCAGATCTTATAGGACAGTAACTTAACCGCAGAAGAGAAGGTCAGGGGATTCACTTGTAGATGAAAATGAATGGAAACCTTCAGAGTCAGATAGTGAGGATTAACTTTACCTCCTTCCCTTTAGTGTCCCCGTTCTCGATCCACTCCACCGTCACACTCTCGTTGTCTTCATGCAGGGATGTGACCATAGCCTGGTGTATTCGGCCTGCAGGGAGGATGCAAACACAGGTGAAACCCGCTCTGACATGCTCTGCTCATTACAGAACCAGTCACCATTTTACCAGCAATGATGATCATCTTTATAGGACAAGTTCCTCTTTTTGATCACTTGCATATCCCTTACAAAGGGTGTCCCTCAGTGAGGTCTAAAAGCACAAGATCTATATCCAGCCATTCAGAAAAGATGCTGCTACATGGCTGGAGATCTTATTTTGGCATTTGACCAATTAGCTAAGCCCTTATATGATATATTACCTACTGCACTCAAAAAACTATCTAGAAATTATAAAAAATTACTAACTTAAGTGTATTTCTACTCAATTTGAGCAGGTAAATAAGATTATTTGCAAATAGAATGAGTAGTTTTGCTCTTAAAGTAAGAAAATTTGATAATATGCACTTGAAATAAGTAAATGTAATTGTTTTTTATCTTATTTTAAATATAAATTGTCTTGTTCTACTGGCAAAGCGTCTCACTTATCGCCTAAATTCAACTTATTTTAAAGAAAAAAAATGATCTATTTAGATTTAGATTTTTTTGCAATGTGTAAATTAAGTGGAAAAAATGGTATAAAGCTAATTGAAAAGTTCAAAAGTAAAGTTCAAACGTTAATAAACCAAATTAACAATTCTATGTTGCCAATTCTAAGTGCCAGTATCAGTATTAATGTCTCTAAGGTTATGTTGTACCAAATAAAACTTGTTTCTTTCACTCTTTCACTCACTTTGTTCTTGATATATTTGGGCAAGTTGGCGTTTCTTGTTATAACACTGACATTAAAATCAAGAACATCCATATATGTTGCATGTTACCAAGGTAATAAGGTCTCTTCCTGGATTCCAACGGCAGTATTGGGTGGAAATGTTTCACTATAAAGCATTAATAATCACCATATAGCCAATGGGTGTGGTTAGTGTGACCATTTCTCTGCTTCTCAAACTAATCAGCTGCCCTAAAGTAGGATGACTGGCCTTTACTGATGCATCATAGGGAGGAGAAACAGTCCCAGCAGGGAACAGCTGTCCTTCTCCATACAAGCACCATGTTGGGGAGGAATAATGAAGTGAAAGGGGAGAGGCCCATGCAGCCATCCTCCAGCCCCCAGATCCAGGCCTCTGTCTGCTGCAGAGCAGGGCGCTGCATGCAGCCCTTCCAGCTCCGGATGAGGCTTTCTACCATGATCCGGAGGAAGGAGGGCTGGTTCATCACGGCCACAGCCGGACAGGTGGACGGACCCGCCCGCCTGGCTGCCCGCCTGCTGACCCACGGCCTACCGGCTTCACTGCAGGCGGCGGTACGGAGAGCAGGACTGGAACAGCTGGGTTTCTTTTGCACATCGCGGAGCCTCTCAGCGCTACAACATAAAGACTTATTGGGGATGTGGATGTGACAGCTGGTTAGCTAGCAAAGGAGCCGTTGCTGCCGCACGCGCCACTCCTTCTCTGTGTGTGTGTGTGTGTTTGGGCGCGCGCGTGTCTGTGGTGGGCCAGCCACGTACCGTCGCTTCGCTTTATCTCCACGTAAATGCCCACGAAAATCTTCCCGAAAATCGCCGCCATTGCTCCCCGTCTCGTCTTCGCCTCGTCCTTCGGTCCAGGATGATCGCCGCTGCGGACGCTGAGGTCACTGGCGGCCGGTTAAAGGAGAGGAGAGGAGAGCGGCTGCTGCGCATGCGCGCATCTTCCGCTTCAGTCCTCAGCATCTTCTGCTGACACTGAGCAATTAGATGCGTTTTCTATATAAATGTTTTACATGTCGATTCCGCCACTTTGTAATAGCAATATCTCATAATTATGAATTAACTATCATAATAATTAATTGTGATATAATACTAATAGTATAACAAAATATAATTTGTTGTATTAATGTCATGTTTTCCAATAAGCTTATTTTAGTTTCCTTTGGTTTGTTCCACATGCTAGAAACTGATTATCTAATATATTTAACACAAAGCAATTGTGATGTTAAAAAGTAAAAAAGTATGATTACTTTACCTATATTTACAAGCACTATACTATACATTACAAGCACAACACTACTTCTCAGTCCCCCGAATGGCCCCATACTCGCAACAACTGTATCCTAATTGCATCTTATTATACATTGATGGCTAACTCATACTTATGAGGCAGTATCGAAATTTGAACGTTGAACCAATCAGACTGTATGTTCTAGTTGAATTGTCTCTGTAAAGTGCCTTGAGATGACATGACTTATGAATTGATGTTATATAAAAAAATACATTTATATATTTATATATATATATATATATATATATATATATGAACCCCAGTCAGATGGCCGCTCACACTGAGCCTGGTTCTGCTGGAGGTTTCTTCCTGTTAAAAGGGAGTTTTTCCTCTCCACTGTCGCTACAAGCATGCTTAGTATGAGGGATTGCCTTCAAGTCGATGAGTCGATGCAATCAACTGGTTTTCCTTAAATACAAAACTGAATCAATTTGACTGTATGATGTGGTGAATTGTGCCTTGAGATGACATGTGTTGTGAATTGGCGCTATACAAATAAAATGAATTTAATTTAATGTCTTTTTTTTTTAAAGAAGCAAACAATATAAAGTGTAATCAAAAAAGTAACGGTTGGGACAAGCTTGGCTGATGGATCCATGAACTGGAAAACATTGACTAAAACAAAAAACTGTTATCAGTTCGCTACCTTAAAGGTATAGTGGAGGATTTTTGCAAATTTTTTAAAAGATCCGCCCTCTCTACTAAAACATAAAAAAGAAGCACATGCACAACAAACACCCATGAAATCGTGCGAGAGCGTGCACAAGCCCATTTCTCCTCGTGCACGCTCTGTTTAAAAGTTGCTGTTTGCATTGCTCCAAAAGAAGATTTGACGAGCAAATAGGACGGACTTACTTAAACATATCAACAGAATGATGGACAATTTGGAGTACCACTAATTTTGATGATCCACCTGGAAAAAGAACATCTGCACTATACCTTTAAGCTATACAATGCAGCAGGATAAATATGTAAAACACAATTCAAAGTACATTTAAATAAATAAAAGCTTTTAAATGGCCTAGTCAACATCTGTAATCTAATTTAATTAAGATACTCTGGCATATATAGGGTTATTAAAACCCTTCTGATTTTTTTATTGTTTTGTTTTTCTTATTTATTCAGGTTATGATTGACCGATACATATTTTTTAAATATCAGTCATGTTATTTTATTTTTGCTTTACCTATAATGCAGGGGTAGTGTTTTGTGAAACATTATGCATAGTGGGGGCTTACCAGTACTTATGGGGATATTCAACTTTTCCCCATATGGTAAAGTCCTCTTCTTTGGATTGGGTGCAGGACTAGGACTAAGATGTGAATTTATGTCAGGTTAGGGTTAGTTATATTGGTATGGGTAAGGACCTGAATTTGGTATGGTAAAATAAATATAAGTCAATGAAATGTCAGGCAAACAAACATGTCTGGGATGAGATCAATATGTATCTTCCTTTTAAAAATTAAAAATTCTTCATAAAAATGTTTAATTTTGTTCACAAGTGCCCTGTAAGGCAAAAAAAAGGACACATCTGCAGAGATAATAATTGCCTTGTTTATGTCCAACATTTCTGTTGCAGTGAAAAATGACTATTGTTAAGCCTTTTAGGTGATATTTATTTGTTCTCTTTAAACGGCAAAGCATCTAATCATCTTTGGTATGTTAACGCTCTTATCAAATGATACACATCATAAAGCTGTAATATTCTCAATGCTGAAATAATTTGTGACCTTAAGATTTTGATGTAAGTCCACCAGTGACCACACGATGGCAGCAGAGGCCGTGAAGAGGACAAGCAGCATTTTCATCTATCAAATGGATTCTGCTTTGTCTGTGTGCTAAATTGGATTTAAGATTTTCTGATGTAAGAATAATTTATGATTCTGTGTAAGATAAAACCGGAATATAAATTAAACCAGCAGTTAATGTTACGATTAAAAGATAGACCTTTATTAATTTGCAGTAAAGAAAAGCAGACCAAATATGCAGATGTCAGTGTCAGTCCTTTAAATGTGCATCTCAGAATGTATTTTTATTTTTTTTTACATTGAAATGGTCGGATAGCGCTTGTTTTCTGGCATTCAAATCAATTTTATTTTATTGAATCACCACTGAAATAAAACGAAACAAATTATATTCATTTCAATTTCATTTTATTCTTTTTATTTCATACTGTACACGTTCAATAAAAAATCTAATATATTCAATTAAACTCAATATAATTCAAAATTATACAATTAAACTTAATTCAGTTTGAATTAAGTCAATTCAGTTATTTCAAGTTTAATAAATTCAATTAAATTTAATTATCTTGTATTCTAAATATGTTATTGATTCAAATGGAAATGACATAATTTTCCATCTTCCTGCCTCTTCATTTATTCCTAGATTACTTTAAAGTTAAGACTTGTATGTTTAGGATCAGCAATCTCCTACTCTAGACTTCTTAGACAGCAAACCAATTTATTTTAAAACTTTTTTTGTACCCCCGAAACAGAACTTTTACGTCTTATCAAAAAAAGCAACTGATATCAAATGATAATATTTTTGAATAAAATAAGAAATAAAATTTTATTCAAATTTTATATTATCAATGTGTATGAAAAGTCAGCATATCATTTATATGCTGACTTACATTGATTTATAGGCCTGAATATGAATAAAACATTGAAATCATGTGTTATGAAAAGGATAACTGATGAGAAATCTAAGGGACATGGAGGATTAAGGTGACTGCATTACACAGTTTATGATAAACAATAGAGTCTTAATAAATAGCTACCAAAGAAAGGTTAGCAAATTCCTCAAACTTTAACAACCAATGAAAAAAATGACATTAGAGTACCTATAGCTGCTTGACTTCACTACCAATTAGAATAAGGATTTTACATCTCTGGCAAGCTATCGCTATATAAAAAGTTTGGCTTTACATTGCTAAGACAGCACTTAAGCATGAAATCAATTGTGTAGAAATTGTACCGCTTATTACCACAGATTAATAGAAATACATTTTCCTTTTCAAAATAAAGCTTTTTTTTTTAAACTTATGAATAAAATAAAAAAAATAATAATAATCCTGACTGCATTTTGTTCTCCTAGACTGCTAAATTTATAAATTAAATGATTAATTGACGTCTGGAATTTGTGAGTTCAAAATATTGTAAGGAGCAATTTTTGCTGTTTTGAAACAAAAAGGCAATTTTTGATCAGTTAGTTTTCTCGTTAGTTCTTTGCTAATAGGATGAAAACGCATTTTAGAGGATCTATGCGGAAATTAAGTTGACTCAAATGTTAAATATCCCTTAGTAATTTCATAAATTTCTATGTAGCTATATCATATTTAGAAAAAAAAGCATTTCTGGTTAAACATTTGAATTTTCAAATATGACATTTTGAAATGAATTGTGATACCTTTTTGCTGGAACAGCTTTTGAAAAATAAATGTTAAAGGTTATAATATGTTTCACTTCAAATTATAAATTGACGGGTCCAGGAATATAATAATCATAACAATTATTTAACTTTATTGATCTCACAATGGAGAAATTTAACTCTGTATTTAACCAATCCCCTTTGGGAGTTGTAGTTGGGATTATTTATGCAAAATGCAGCTGGGATTATTTATTTTTTATTTTATTTATAAGGCAAATAAAAATCCAGTTTAGATTATTTATTTCTTATGTTATTTTTAAAAATAAAGGATGCCTAATTTAATAAAAATAAAAAGTATCTCTATTAATCCATTTTAATCAGAATATTGGGACACATTTACTTCCACTGTTAATTTCCAAGCCTGTTTCCCAACAGGACAATAAAGGTGAACTTACATACTAATCAATGCAGTAACAGGAGCTGAGTGTCTCCCATTCTTACCACCAACCAACCCACCATCCATGCACTGAGTGAGCAGGAGACTGATCCAGACACAGACAATCACTAACATGCTTCCTGACATGCTTTCTGGTCTCCAATTTGTTCAAATTTTTGGTTTATAAAGTCACCACAGCCTCCACTGTCCAGGTTTTTTTTTTTTATCGGTTTGCTTTGTGGATTGTTAAAACACAGAACATTACATCTATTTGGTCCATTTACTTTTGAACTAACAGATCTGAGATTAGCTTATAAAGAAAGTTACAAACTTCTCTAAATAAATACCTTTAATGTGACACTGTTAGAAAAAGCTGCAGCCCATGCATGCATCCAGACATATTTATGTTAACATTTTGCATTATTTTACAATCTTCCATGATGTGTAGCAACTGCAAGCAATACAACCTTTAAAAAAAATCATGCATAATTCATAATGTTCACAGACATCACATATGAAAATCCTCTGTAGGCAATATTGGGCGGGGAAGGAGATTCCCCTTTTCTCCTCCCTGAAGTTGGTTTCTTTAAAGCTGTGATTCTGGTGTTTTGCTGCTTGTGAATGCTCAAAGCGGGGAGATGCAGACACTTGAATACAGGTTTTAAAATCCCCCCTCTTCTGATTTTACTCAAAAAGCTCTACAAGGTTTGCAGGAGACAGAATAAGATGTGCAGTGTGATGACATGTTAGGGGGAAAAAAAATTAACAACTGTAATTTTAGGGCATTTAAATGATATAAATACTTAAATGTCCATAATCTGTGGCGGAAATATCTGCCTTGCCTT